AGGAAGAGGAAGAGGAGGAAGGCGGCTGTCAGCACCTTCTCCAGGAAGAGCCCGATCCAGAGAGCGGGGCTGGAGAACAGACTCTGACCTGCTGTGTAAATGCACCAGATCAGCCAATGGACAGAAACCCCCCGCGGACAAGAGAACAGCTGGTTCCTGGCCATCCCGCCCTGGGTCACACGTGCACCTTTACCGGGCTCCGAGAAAACTGGCCTTCCATGGGGCTTGGCGAGTTCCTGTCTGTGAACAGCAAGGTGGCAAATGGCCCCTGCAGAGTTTGCCCAGCTCTGCCTGGCAGCTGTATCCACACGCTGCTGGCTGGCCCCAGGGCAGCCCAGACTTTACGGGGGAGACCTCGAGCTTCTCAGAGCAGGAGAATAAGGACTCAGGAGTGACCATGTTCGAGCCCCTCTCCAAGGGACAGTCACACCCTGCAGGGCTGCACAGAGCATCTTCCCAGTGACAGTTCCTGCCCTTAACCTTCCCCCTCCCGCTCCGCCCACGGGCCCCAGGAGAGCAGAGTCGAGGGATAATCCTGGAATAAAAGAGTGGCTGTTACACTGAGGGGCTCCCCTGGCGGAGATGGGCTGAAATGGCCCCTGGGTTCCGCAGACCAGACCTGGCATTTCCCAGCAGTGCAGTGCGGGGGCGGGGGGGGGGGGTGTTCGACTGCACATTTACCTGCATCACATGAAGTGGGATCTTTGCCTGGCTCAGGAGGTGGCTGGGAGAGTCTCAGCATCGCGCTGGCACCGACAGGGGGCTGGGAATCGTGCACAACCCGACAGGTGAACGCAGACTGCCTCCTCTGCTCAGTTGCGTTGACCTCCAGGGAGCTCTGGAGCGTGTACGTCCTGTCTGGATTCTCAGTCAGGTGGAAGGGTTTTCCCAGATCCATCTCATTTCCGTTCTCCAGCCAGGTGAGACTCGCGTCCTTTGGGTAAAACCCCTCCGCGCGGCAGGTGAACGTCACAGACTCGTTCAGTGCAACGGGCGCCGCTGGGGCAGTGCCCACTCGCAGCCTGGGGGGAACTGAGAACACAGATATCCTGCGCTCGGCATCTACAGAAATTCTCCTTTTCCTGCTGAGTTACAGGGAAATTTCTGGGCTGGACAGACTGACCTCCCCCTGAGCCCACCTCCATCCGCCCCCCCCCCCCACCACCCCCCGTCCCTCCCTGGAGCACGTTCAGCTCTCACTGAATCTCTTCTTTATCCAGGCCCTTCCCAGCTGGGGGGAGGCTCGGGGAAATTCTTTAAAAGCCACCAGAATTAGCAGAGGGGGGGAAAAAAATGTTCCCCATGTCCCCACTTTCCCTCCTCTCCATTCCTGGACAAAACGCACAGTGCGCTGGGTAACTTCAGCTGGGGGGTGGGATCTTACCGGGGTTCAGACAAGGACAAACACGTTCCATCCCACACAACCTCCACACACACCCAACCCCTCTGGGCCGGAGCAGGGCACTTCCTGGCCCAAGGGAAGGGTCTCTATGTTCTAAGGACCTGAGGATGAGAGATGGGAACAGGGCAAACTGGACCCAAATCTGGATTTCAGTGTCTGACCCCCCACAAAATACCCACCCGAAAGGGACCCAAAGGGCGATGGATCCGTCTCAGCCCCCACACCCCCCAGTAGCGCAGCCGGGGCTGACCCCTACCTCGCAGGGCATCGCTGAGGTTGTAAGTCGCACGCAGGGGAGCCGGTAAGGTGCTGTGCTCTATCTGACAGGTGAGCTGGGAGCGGGTGTCTCCTGCGGTCAGGTTCACCCCCACGGTGCTGCACACGCTGTAGGAGACGCTCTTGTGTGCAGGGAGAACCCGGGTCTGGGAGTCTGGGAGTTTGGCCCCATTTTTGAGCCAGGTCACAGTGATGTCTCTGGGGGCGAATCCTCCTGACGTGCAGGTGAAAGTCACTGGGGGACCCGGCTCTGCCCTGCTGTGGGGGCCGGACACGGATGGGGCCGATGGTTTGCCTGCAGGGAAAAGCGTTTTTGAGTCAGATCCCTCGGCGACTGAGAGCCCGTTTCCCCAGCCCCACGGGAGCCGCTTCCCAACAGGGACAGCCTGAGATCAGGGGAGCCACAGCCCCCGCCCCTGAACACATGCCTGGTCCTTGCTCCCCATCTCTACTGGGGCGGCCCCGGGCACTGGGAGGGGAGGAGAAACCCCCTGGTGCTGGGAGCAATTCCCCCGTGTGACGGGTTGGATCACAGAAACCCCCTTGGGAGCTGCCACCCGATGTGCAAAGACTACCCCTGCTTCTGCTTTCCCTGCCAGCTCAGGACTCCAGCACCCTGTCTTGCTGAGCCAGACACTCCCGTCTGGCTCCAGATACAGACCCAGGGTCTGAATCACTTGTCCCAAAGCTGCAAGTTTACCTGAAAACAGCTCACAGTAGTGTCCCTGTCTTTAGCACTCGGATGCCCAACTCCCAATGGGGTCTAAACCCAAATAAATCCGTTTTACCCTGCATAAAGCTTAAGCAGGGCAAACTCATAAATTGTTCGCCCTCTATAACAGTGATAGAGAGATATGCACAGTTGTTTGCTCCCTTAGGTATTAATATGTACTCTGAGTAAATTACTAAATAAAAAGTGATTTTATTAAATACAGACAGTAGGATTTAAGTGGTTCAAAGTAGTAACAGACAGAACAAAGTAAGTCACCCAGCAAAATAAAACAAAATGCGCAAATCTATGTCTAATCAAACTAAATACAGATAATTTCCTCACCAGTTCCAGAGCACTCCCTTTTACAGGCTAATCTCCTTTTAGCCTGGGTCCAGCAATCACTCACACCCCCTGTAGTTACTGTCCTTTGTTTCAGTCTCCTTCAAGTATCCTGGGGAGGAGGGTGGAGAGGCTCCTTCTTTAGCTAGCTGAAGACAAAATGGAAGGGTCTCCCACGGGTTTAAATAGACTCTCTCTCTTGTGGGTGGAGCCCCCCCCCTCCTCCCTCCTATGCAAAGTCCAGCTCCAAGATGGAGTTCTGGAGTCACCTGGGCAAGTCACATGTCCCTGCATGACTCAGTCTTTACAGGCCGAAGCCATTGTCCACATGGTATCTTGCATGTCTCCAGGAAGACTTCTTATGTGGATTGGAGCATTCCAAGATGCATTGTTCCCTAAGTGTCTCCTGATTAGGTACTTAACCTGGCAAATTCCTTCCTAAAGAAGCTGACCAAATGCCTCCCAAAGCTTACTTAGAAACCAAGCCAGCATACAGCCCATATTCTTAACCTTAAGTAGAAAATGATATATATATATATATATATATGTACAAATAGGATGAATAGATATAGTAGACCATAACCTTTACGGAGATTTGTGCTGCCTGTGCCATGTAACATAACATATTCCAGTTATGTCATACATACATTTATAAGCACCCCCTCCCCATAAAGCCTTATGGGGCACACAGTCACACGCGGCGTAGGTGAGTGTGAGGAGTCGCAGCCGGTTCGGCTGGAGGCTGCGAAGGGCTGCAGAGCCGGGTGCCCCCCCCTCCCCCCACCAGCAGCTCCGGCAGGTCTTTCTGGAGGGGCCGAGTGAGAAGAATCAACCCAACACCTGACACCCCCCCCACTGCACCCACCCGACCAGTCACCCTCACTGCACCCACCCGGCCAGTCACCCCCACTGCACCCACCCGGCCAGTCACCCCCCACTGCACCCCCTGGCACACCTGGAACTTCATTTTCGTTGGAGAGCAGCTATCCCTGGGGCTAGAACAGGCATTTCTCCCTCTTCTTCCCCCATCTCCCTAAAAGCCATAACCTCCCCACCCCCAGGTGTAGGTCTCAACCCAGGTCCCACTTTGCTGCAGTCTCGGTGGGAAGTGCAGCTCCCCGGTCAGTGTCTGGGCCAAGCTGGGTTGTTCCTCGCCCTGGTAGCAGCCCCCGGTGGGAGGGCCGTGGGGCTGGGGGAGCTCGCACTCACCGCTCACAGACACGACGGTGCCAGCGCCGGATCTGAACTCCTCATCGGCTCCCGACCCCTTCACAAACTTCACACAGCGATAGATCCCGGCGTCCTCGGGGCGGGTGTCACTGATGCGGATGGTGAAGTCTGTGTTAGAGCCATTCACAGCCCGCGTCACCCGGGGGAGTGATTCCTCCTTATCTGCATAAACGAGCTGGCGGCCACTGCCCGAGCCCTTGAACCACTTTGTGGGTCCCACTGGAACGGGCCCAGTCTCAGAGCAGATCAGAGTGAGAGTCTCTCCTGGTGACACCGACACGGCGTCCTGGGGCTGCAGCAGCTGGAACTCCTGGGCCCCGGCCCCTGGAAGGAGAGAACAGGCCGGGCTGGGGGAGGCTGGTTGACAAGCCCCAGTCCCGCAGCAGCAGGGGGTTCAGTCCCAGCCTGGCACCGCTGTGTGGATCCTGCTCCCAGCCCTGCCCGTTAGGGGCTTATTCCTTCACCCGCTCACTTCCCTGGTCCTTCTCGCATGAACCGAGAGCAACAAATACCCGAAGTGCAAAGGCGCAAACAATTCGATGTTTATTGGGCTGAACTTCCAACCAGCATGATTCCAGTTTCCTTCTCAGTGTCCCCCTTCCCAGCTCTGACACCACAGAGCCATCCCTGTTCCCACTCCCCCTTAGCAAAACATGATTCCAATTTCCCCACCTCCATTCCCTGTTCCCATCCCCCCCTTACTTCCTGATTGACTGCAGACTATATAGTAAAACTTGAGTTCTGCTTAGATATCCCTTAGCCAATCATTTTACTGAAATTTAACTAACCAATCCTGACACATTGTAACATGGTTATTTAACCAATTATATCCCACCACCTTAATTGGTCTACATCCAACAAAATTAATTATACAGCAGACAGAAACAAGCACAGAACCAGTCAGAGACCATGCAAATAAACATACAAAACAATACAGAAGTGAGGATTTCACAACTACATCTATACAGACAGAAGGGTTTTCCAGCTGTGTCTATTGATAAGTGAGTTCTTGCCAGACAGGATGCTATCAAACTAAGTGTCCTTTTACCTCTTCTAGGCTCTTCCCTTTCTCTGGGGGTGATGGGAATATCAGGACAGGATTGTATCCTAACAGCCCAATAGCACTTTATTTCCATGTGACTGGTTTGGAATGTGAGGATGTGACCGTTCACTTCTCAAAGGCCTTACTTAGCCTAAGAACAGAGCCGCAGACTGTCACAGTACGACAAGGCCCTTACACAGACAGACAGTGATTTTGATTCTTTCTTTCACACCTCTAGAACTAGCTAAGTGATAAGAATACACCTAAATTCTTAAAGTATAGGCCTTTACAGACAGGCCTGAATATCTATATCCTAACACTGCCTAGAGCCAGGCCCTGCCCAGGGTGGGGCTTTAGCTGCCCTGGGAGTAACTTTTTGTGTCGTTCCACAGCGACCCCTGCAGGCTGCCCCGGAGCCGCGTTTCCAGAGCTTCGCCCCGGCTCCCAGGAGCAGGCAGGGACCAGGGAGCTGTTGCGCTGAGCGTGAGCAGGGGAGCCGGGGCAGGGACAGAACCTCATGGGCACAAGCAGGGACCAGGGCCCTGAGCCCAGCTGCTGCTGCTCCAGGCACAGAGAAGGAGCTTCTGGGTGTGTCACTTACTGCCAATGAACGGAGGGTTATTTTGCCCCTTGATGGCCCCACACAGACATGGCACCCAATGAAGTCTGAAAGCAACACGATTTAAAGGGACAAAAATAAATATTTTAACCCACATCTAACTAACCTGTGGAATTCACTGCTGCAGGATATTGTTGAATCTAATTGCTCAGTAAGATTTCTACAAAAAGATCAGACGTTTATAAAAAGAAGACCAGCCCCTGCAGTGACACCAGCTGGGATCAAGTTTTAAACACTGTTACCGGTTCTCACACTCCAGAGCATAAACTGATCACAAGCTGGGGGCAGGAAGGTTTCCTCTGGGATATAAAATACACAGGGGTTTATTCCTCCCTTTAGAGCAGCTGGAATTTCCCTCCGTTGCAAGCAGCAAGAAAGCAGACTAGACGGCTTGTGCCCGCGTGGGCAGTGTCTATGTTCTACACTCACCAGAGATCTCCAGGAGAAGCAGCAGCACCAGGCATGGAACAGACAATCCAGACACAGGGGTCGACGGAGCCATTTTGTTGTCAGAGGGGCGACCTTTCAACACCGCAGCCTTTGCCAGCTCTCCGTTGTCCAAAGAGATACTGAGAAGTTTATCATTCAAGATCGGACCTTCCCCCATTGCAGAAGGAAGTGGATTGTGTTAGAGACATTTCCTGCTTCCACCTCTCTGCAGACTGAACTGTTTTTTCCCACCATTAATTTTACTTCTCACAGCGAAGCGGCTGGTGACCCGTGTTCTCTCTTGAAGCCTCACGTAATCCAGCCCTTTGACAGCCATGAGCTGAAGCACCCAGGCTAACGCTGCTGGGGTATTGAAGGGTGGAGAGAGGGGCCCTGGCAGAGCTGCTCTTTGGGAAGGGAATTCCCTGACAGTGTTGAAATCTCCCTCCCAAACACCAAACCAGAGCATTTACCAGCCACTGCACGTTCAGAAACACTGTCCACAGAGACGTCTGAAAGCTGGGCCCAGAGACCCCTGTTCTGGAGCTAGTCCCTGGCGGTGACTGCTACCAGAGAGGGTCCTTCAACACACACCTCAGTGGGGGGAT